TGGATGGATGGATGGATAGTTGGATGGATGGATGGATAGTTGGATGGATGGATGGATAGTTGGATGGATGGATGGATAAACAGAATAAAACACCCTGCAGGATGAGTGTTTGTCTGAGGGTTTGGACTCTGGCTGAGGGAATTGATTAGCAGCAGACTTCTCCTCAGCTGCACTGATTTCACACTGCCATCTGTATTCATGGATGCATGCTGCGAGTGAGGAGGACGAGCACTGTTTCTTCACATCTTCCTCTCAGTATGCACTCCTCACTGCTCCTCTCTGAAGTCTTCATTCCCTCCGCTCTTCCAGTTCAGCATTGTCAGGCTCAACGTTTCAAACTTCTCATTTTGTCCCGCTTTCGTGTTTGGATTTCAGACTAAAGGGGAACAATGTTGATTTTTTTTTAATGCTACTCCATGTCCTCCTGCTGTGGAGAAACAGTTCTAATGGAAATAATAACTAAATGACTCTGAGAGGGAGCAAAAATTTCTGCGTAGAAGCAAACTGCTGCAACACATCGACAGGCAGCTTGCAGCCCCACTCTCCTCTCTGCTCAATTATGGGCCTCYTTTCTTCAGGTGGTTAGAGGAGCCGAACAACAACAGGGATGCCTGGACTCATCTTCAGAACCAACACTGTTTATTCTGAAGTCCACTGGTAAGAATWTAACTTTCTAAACTATGTTGTATGTGTCCAACCTAAAGTTGAAGAGGTGGGGGGAAAAGGTACATGAATTCATCCAGAACCACTGGGTGCAGATAAAGTACACAACATGTTTGTCAATGGCCCCATTCAGAAAGGTGCACATGTTAGAATTACCTGGKCTTAGTAGCAGCCACAACAAAAAAGAGGTTTATGTCAGCAACCTCATCTGGGTCTGCAGTGTTTCCAGTGAGTCTTTCAGCCAAATCAAAGACCCAGTTCATTTGTGTCAGCTGCGTTTCCTGTAAGCCTTTAACTCATTTCAGAGTTTGACTTATTGAGTCTGCAGCATTTCTAACTGGGAATTCCTCTGTTCTTAAGCTAGGATTATAGTCGACAACCACGTGATGTCCCAGCGTGTGATCATCCACCTACAAATCTTTGAAATTCTGCAAAGGCTGTGTGTGCAGTGCACCATTCACATAGTTTGTTTGTCTGTCAAGCTTTTTCTCTCGTTTACAACAATTTCACAAGTTTTAACATGTACTGCCCCTTGTCCTGTTGGAGAAATCTCCAACAACATAGCGTCAAGTATAAACACATGGCTGGCGAGGGTGTTGGCGTGCCCTGCACGGGTACCCAAAGCCCAACTAAAACCCAGCCTTTACAGCAAGTTTGCTAACTCTCAGGCTTAGCAACAGTCTGCCAAAGTTGGCGTCGGGACCCAAAGTGGGGTCCTGAAACATAAAGGTGGGGTCTTGAAAAGATTTTCTGAATTGATTTCACTAAAATATGAGAACTAACAACAATTTTTGCCTTTYTTCTTACAAAAGAGTAAGGCTAGTGTCCTTACAATAGAGAAAAATAGCATAATGAATATTGTTACTATGTCCTTGTTTATTTGACATGAAAACAATGTTTATRAAKCAACAACAGCTGGGGGCACAGGTCTCTGCTGCGGGTAGTTTGTGGGTCAAATGCTGAAAAGTTTYGGAACCACTGWGCTAGAGAACATGGTGGATTCTGATTAATTGTGACCTCAGACARGAGTCCTGACTCAGTGCAAAGATCTGGATCCTTAACCTGGGCAAATTGACTTTGCTCTACTACCAGAGGAGTGACACTCATTTTACAGTTTTTTTTCAATGTTAGCAGTTAGTTAATTAATAACTAACACAGCTAATGAAAWCCTAAAATCAGCTTGTCGCATTTCCAACATTGCAGAAAGAATCACAGCAGAGAAAAATAACTATCTGTATGATTAACATGTTGATATTAAAAACTAAATCATACATTTATATTTGTCTTTAGACTTTCTGTCTTTGTGTACATCTGTTTGTTTTTAAATCACTGTCCTAAACCAGCTTGGTGGCTCTCTGGGGGTTTAGCTGAAACTGATTTAGAATTCAGTCTCATCACTTATTCATCCCCAAGTTTAGCCTTGCTCTTCAAAATATCAATAGTTGAAACTGGAAAAAAAAATCACTGTCTTGATATATCAGATGGATTTTAAACAAAGTGGCTGTCAGCATGTTTTACTGCTTGTATCCGAGCAGTCAAAAATGTACTTTATACAGTATATTTGCAATATTTATAAACAGTTTTATGACTTGTGAAACATTTATGTTGCACAGTAGGCCTGGCTGCATTTATGTTTTTAAATCAATTAGATTGTTTGATGCCTTTTTAAACTCATGTTTTATTACCATCAAACTGTGAAATCGTGATTAAAATATGACATCAAAATCTCAAACAAACCTAATTTCTACATACATAATATTCTCAGTTATCAAAGGAATCTGATAACTTTTTGATTTTTACTGTCTTTGATTATAGAAGCATCACATCTGCTTATTGCAGTGYCATCCTGAACAAAGTGATGTCATAATAAAACCAATAATTTAAAAGTTGTGTCACAGATCAAAATGAGATAATTAGTCCTTCTGTTGAACATTAGCTCCACCAACGATCACTTTTATAGTTCAAAAACTGAGTAAAGTCTGTTTTTTACTGTATTAAATGAATAAGTGTATTAGTTTCTTCAATGGAAAAATTAGCCATCCTGAAAAGTAAAAAAATTATTTATATACAGTGCAAAAACTATCATGAGGGAATTCAAAACTATTGCATCAAAATGCAACAGCAATTATTAGGAAATGCAAAAACTTGTTGCAAGGAAACACTATCCAATCAAATGCAAAACTAATGCAAGGGAATGCAAAACCAATGCAAGAGAGATCAAAACCTATTGCGAGAACACCTATCACGAGGTAACGCAACAACCAGGTAAAGCAACAACCATCACCAAGGAATGCAAAACAACTGTGTGGGAATTCAAAATCTATCACAAGGAAATGCAACAACTATTGCCAGGGAACCTAACAAATATCATGACAAACAACAACTTTAGCCAAGGAACACAAATTAATATGAGTGAATGCATTTTTTTTTCATCACATAAAGCTCCTTAAATTGTCTTGTTGCTGAAAATGTGCAATGCAAATAAACATTCCTTGTGAAGAAATGCAAAAATCAAAATGAACAAATATCTTCCCTGAGTAAATTTATTCTTGAATAATTAAAATTTACAATAAACAGGACTGATAAACTATAATCTTTACATTTTCACAGAGGTCCATTTGAACACTAATTTATAAAGTTTTACTTTGCCAACAGTTTCACATTACACAGGTATCTACAGGGGTTGTAACAGTGCACGTATGTATTTGTACCATGATGGCTCGGTGCAAATGTTTTGGACCAGTAGTCCCCAATCATTGTCCTGGAAAACTACTACTTCTGCCAAAATATCTTTGAAATGGAAACTCAGTGGGGTAGAGGTTGAAATAACAGCATTCGTATTAAGAACTGTGATGGCAGAAATTTACTTTAGTCTTGGCTTCATTCAGATTAGGGCCGGCGTCACACTACAAGCAAATCATGCCGATTTTTGCCCTTCTGACAACCTTAAGGAAGTCCAGATTATCGTGATGGCTCTAAAGATAATCATAGCAGATATTCCTGCTGTGGGTGGTGAGTTGTTTAATGTAGCTAAATCACCAGAAACTTATTTAAAATCTTGTAATCCTATATTGCATTTAAATTATCAAATATTTATTAAACTTGATACTTTAATAGAACATCAGGTTGTGGTGCAAAAAATTACGAAACAAAGTCACGTCTTTACTTTGATCCTGATCAAAATATGTTTTGCTGTTAATATTGTTTYATTCTCAAAACAAAGCAACATCCGTGAGTTGCAGTGAAATGCGCAGCTGAGCGGAGCCGCACCCTGAGCTGCACACAGTGATCTGGGGGGCTTCTCTGCGGCGGCTGCGCTTTACGGCAGCTGATCAGATCGTGGCACAAAAACCATCCCATTTGTGCCAGATCACACTCAGCTGTTGATCAATGTTGTTGTAGCAGCGGCTCCGGTCTGTTTTAAACATCATCATATTTGTCTCCTGCACCCACCTCGTCCTCTCAGGTGGAGCGTGAGAATATTTCTGTGGCTCTTCTTTTCTGACAGATGGTTTAAAAATATCTGCCAGCTTCGTTTTGCTCTCTGCTCATTCTTTTTTATATTTATAAACTCAGTCTGAGAAATGTATTATTTTTATGAGTGCCGCTCTCAGACTTCATCCATGACATGTTGACAGCRGTCAATCAATCACTGAAGGACACGCCCACACATTCTGACAGAAGTCACGTGTTTTCTTAATGATTACCCAGCTTGTTTCTGACAAATGTCCAAGGATGAGCAATGTTCATGAACATACAGTTTGTATAACATGACCTGAAACGTGCGTAAAAACAGATCAACAACTGTTCCACATATGGTGAAAAGTTTGAGCATGTTCAAAATTCTGCACTGGGATCTCTGTATGACAACGTACTGTAAGTCCTCTTATATCCACATGATGGTTAGTTATTCTAAAATGATGCCTAACTACCATCAACATGTAGATTTTTTCATAAGCTGATGCTGTGCGTCACTCTGTGACTGCTGCTGACATTTTTCTCTCTTCCTCAGTGTGTGCCAGCATGTTTAACAAAATTTGCTGATGTCACATAAGTTGTCTAAAACATCATAGTGTGACACAGGGCCCTAACCATTGTTTCCAAAAAAACAGATCAGATAATAAATTTTTTATGTTTTGCACAGAAACCCACTACATTATGGCTGAACTATCTGTTTAGGGTCAAAAAAAGATGCAGACTCATCATTCTTGAGGCTGAAGTTTGTATACAGAACTCTTCATCTGAGGAACTTATAAGCAGAACTTCTTCTCTCATGAATACATGATGTGGTGTTGCAGAAATATTAGAAATTAATGAGTCATTTCAAACAAACAGATCATTGTGTATCAGCTTTTAGAACACCAGCAGACAAGTTTAATTTAAATTCAAACATGGCCACGTTTAAAGGTCACAAACTGAATAAACCTGAAGCTTATTCGATACAAAACTGATGAGATTAAAACACATTCAGTCTTCAGTCAAAACAGGAAGGAAGGAACCATTTTGTTTAAAAATACTGGGTTTAACTTACTGAAACTGAAGATAGGGATGGAGCAGAGACTGAACCAGAATCCATTAAATGTTGGTGGAGATCCAGATCAGATGAAAGCTCCAAGTCCTCCTGGAAAAGAAATGAGCAGATTTCAAATACAAGTGCAAATAAATGATTGACAGTTTCATGGAACACTTGCACTTATTTCAAGTGAGAAACTTGGTAACATTCATATTTGGCACGTTTCTCCATTTTGCTTTGTTGTGACACAAAAACAATTTTATTTAATATTGATGATGTTTTGTAAGTCATGATAAAATAGCAGTAACCTTAAAAGGACTCATTGCAACACTGAAACAGAATAACTATTTATTTTTAAGTAGTTAACGTTTTTTTATTGTTCAAATGATTTAACTTGTGTGAACCAAAGCATTTTAATATAATACAAACCAATTCAATAAGATTTATGACAAAACAGTACAAAACAAAACCATAAAATACAACACGCTTCAAATAAATAAATACACAACACACTTCAATACAATTTGATACAATGATCCAATACTCCTAAATTTAATGTAATACAATTCACTTCAGTACAACCCAATATGCTTCAGTACAATACACTGTTTTTAGCCACTTAGGGAAACTTTTTTGAAATTAAAGCTGTCCTTTAAACCCCGACACTCCCTAAATGAACATGTATCGCTGTTCATTTTTCATTGGGATTTGATGGAGTTAGTCATTTTGGTCAAACTTTGAAAATAACATTATGTACCACATCTTACCACTCAGGCTACGACTTGAATAACTGTCAAAAACTACAACACTAAATGTATACTCAATATCTGATAAAATGACAGTTTGGCCAATAATGTCTAGTAGCTAAGGTTGGGCAATATTGGCAAAAAAGTAATCACGATTAATTGTACTGTTTAATCAATAACAATTAATATGATGATTAATCCACTGGAGTCCCTTGATGCCCTAATATCTTAGTCATATGACCGATTTAAATCACTCTAGTGGGAAAGATTTGCTCTCTTTAAAAATCTGTTCCAAATTGTGTCCAAAATACAGACTTCAGGATATACATCTATTTTTAACTTGTGTTGACAGACCAAGTAAAACGGGAGTTATGATAAATAAATTACAGAACTTTTTTTTAATGTTCATTATATTTGAAGCGGAGAGGAGCATTGAGGGGACTGACCGGGGAAATCTCCAGTCAGGCTAGCTGGTGGCATTAATCATATTAATCATCAAGTGCCAAAAAATAATCAATTAAAGCTTCTCTGATGATTAATTGCACACGATACGATTTTGCCCAACCCTACTAGTAGCCGAGTCTGTCCTCAATGTTTTATGCATCAAGTCCAGTTTTTTCCACCTGCTTACATGAATATAGACAAGACAGGCATCATTTATTGGAGACCTGAAACTTTGCCCTCAAAGGTCAAAGATCATGGCCTGTTTGGAAGGGCTGCTGGAGAAAGATTCCTTTCTCTAAAACCAACTTGGCAGCACGACTAAGATGTGTTTCATCTGAAGGAACCACAAGACTTCTGGACCAATGTCTGGAGCAAAGTAGAGGTGTGTTTTCCATAATACACAGAACAATGTTTGGCCAAAATCAAACAGCTCATCAACACAAGCTCCTCCCAGTTGTCATATGGTGGTAGAGGGCTGATGGTTTGGGCTCCTTGTAGTCCCTGAGTGGACCATGAACTTTCTGTAGTACAAGGGATTCTAGAGTGGAATGTGGGTCCATCTGTCTGACAGATGAAATTTGAATCAAACTGGGTCCTACAGGACAATGATCCCCAACACGGTGTCTGATCTACAACAGAATTTATCAAAAAGAAAAGAATCAAGGAGCTGCAATGGCCCAGATAGAGTCCAGAACCTGACTGAAACCCTGTGGTGGGACCTTCAGAGAGATGAGCAGAAACTAACGATGGAAAGAAGAGTGGGCCAAAATCATTCCACTAACGTGATAGAAAATCACTGATTCTGCTGCTGAAGGAGGTCCTACCAGCTGTTGCATTTGTTTATGGCACAATGACTCAATGGAATCTATTGTGTTTTTATTCACTTCAGGTTAGATCTGAATAATTTATAACCCGATAAAGATCATTTTTATTATGACTTCATACATAAAACCCTAGAGTTAAAGAACTTCCCATTACAGCATCAAAAAAAAAAAAAAACAACAAAATAAACATGACTCAGAGCCAAAGTCATATCTTAAAAGAAAACAGGTTTTCTTTTCTGTTTTATTCCTTTACATCAATCCATTTACGCTCAGAGTCTGTATTTCCTCTGGCGTTTGTAGTAAAGTACAATCTCTAAAGACAGCTGCTCACAGTTGCAAACTGCGTAATGGCTCCAGGTCTCTCTGTGAGCTTTCTGTTTTCACTTTATCCCCCATTCTGTTGCATTCAGAGCAAAGCAAGACATCAATGAATCGAAGCACAACAGTTTATCTGTTTTCCTCCTGCTGAGCCTACACAAAAACTATTTTTATCCTGCCGAGTTGGTCTCCTGAAGACAGTTTTCTCATCTTTATGTGATTCTGTGCTACAGATGGACTGGGAACAAAACTCTTTACACGTCTCACCGTCAAATGAAAAATACCAAACTCTGAAACATTCATGTTTTCTCTTGTTTCCATAGAAATAACCCACTCTAAGTTGTCCCACTCTGCACACTTAAAGCTGAAACTTTAGAGGAAATAAATGGTTTTTATTTCATAGTATGCGCATCTAGTAATGTTAGATCCATCCATACATCCTCTGTTTGTTTCAGAGTCAGGTCGTGGGGGCAGCAGCTCGATACGACAGCCCCAAAAATGAAGCTGGGGGGAAAAAACAATGTTTCAAAAAAGAGATTGAAAGGGATTAGCATATTTCTCCCTCCACACTGCATAATATAATTAAATAGCTCCAGGAATCTGAAGGAATTTTAGAGAAGAAAAAGAAACGGATCAAGCTTAAGCTCTGATTTCTCAGACAGAACCACACGGAGAACTTTCACTTATATAAGCAGAAGGGCAAAGAATTACTTTAGGAAGGGAAAACTTTGTCAAGTACTGGAGTCCAGGGTCATACTCAGAAACATCAGAACTGATGTCACAAAATGCTGCATTAACCTGATCCATCCATCCATCCATTGCTGCTGGGTTTGTCTAATTTTCTGACACATGATAATTAAAAAACACAACGTTGACGTTCTCCGAGAATTCTAGAACTACACCTGGACAGAAACAAACCAAAGCGAAGCGACTGGAGTAGTGCTTATCAATAGAGAAGCGGCTAAAGTGTCTCCAGGGTGCACTGATTCTTCCCGGGAGTCTTCCCCTAGTAGCGGAGTTGGGTTCACACCATCCAAGAGTCCTCCTTACCAAGTGAACCACCTCAGCTGGTTCCTCTGGAAGTGGAGGAGCAGCAGTTCTACTCTGAGTCTCTCCTGTAGAACTGAACGTCTCAGACTATCTTTAAGTGGGGCTCAGCCAAGGAAAATTTTGTGCAGAAGATTAAAAAAATGGTGTACCATCCCTTCAGTTCTGTCAGAAACCCATGTAGCAAAATAAAATAAAATAAAAGAAATCATTCCATCCAAAAAACAAAACAAAACAAAACAAAAAATTATAAAACAAGACCTTTAGCGTGGAAACACTTTGAAACACCAAACTATGGCTAGAAACCAAACTATGGGGCTGAAAGATGGCAGCTGGTGTTCCAGACTGATTGCAACATTTTGTTTATGAATGGCATTGACTAGGCATGCAAACAATTGATTGACTAACGATTAATTGTTGAATAATGGTTAATTAGATTAACATATTTGTTTCATTCGATTACTTGATAACGTCTGATTAGACCTTATTTCAGTATAATTGGCCGCCACACAGAAGAGTGCGCCTCTGCTGCCAGCCTGGCCTTACCCCAGATTTATACTGCATGCATCTCCGCTGCGCTGCGCTCCGCTGCGCAGGTCGCAGCTGTGCGTTTCAAGTCCAGTTTACACCACCTCCGCTCCGCTCCGGTACGACAGAGGAGATCGCGCTATAAATTCAGTGATAAATGTGGAAGTCACAGCAAAAAATAATTAATTCTGTGAAAGACAAACTCCAAACACAGCTGAAAACAACGATATAAAAGCTTTTTGTATCTGTGTTGAAACTGTCTCGCTGTCGGCTTTCTGAAACTTCTGTATCGTGTGTCCACACATATGCTTCATGCTACATGTTTCCATCTGCTTCCCAAACAGAACCATACATTCTGACAGCATTTGTGTAGAAATATATCCGTATATTTATTAATATAGCTGCAATTTCGACATTATTCCGACAAATTATTCCGCCGAATAGTGTCTTATTTTGAAGATACGGATGTTGTGCTCGTGTCTTTTCCTGTTGGTGCGACGTAATCTTTAAAAATTGACTCCGGCGCTGCTCCGTCATCCGGCAAAAATAGGATCTGTTCTCATTTTGATGGATCACCGTCTGCAGCCAGTGTAAACACTCTCATTGATTATAATGGGTGTGTATTTGCTGCGGAGGTTGGACCGGAGCGGAGCGGAGACGGAACGCAAGTAATGTAAATTAGGGGTTACTCTTCCCCGGCTCTGTTTGCATAGAGCAGAAAGTCGCCTTGATGTGGGCGGGAGCAGAATATTAAATACGATTGAATCTTATTTTATTTGCAACACAACAATGATAATGGACTAAACCTAACTCGAAAGAAAAGTATCGAAGGCTGTACTGGACCATCCAGCTCTATGATGCTTAAGACAAGAGAGCAGGACGACAGAAAACATAAGGCTAATTGCAGCTAACGTTAGCTTCTTGTTGTTGAGCTAAACTTGTGTAAAAAAAACAAGAAAACATTACAGTCGCTGCAAACAATATTTGGGTTAGGTAGCCCGGCCAGATAGAACCACCAGGAAGCAAACAAATAGATAGCCGATAGTCTTCAGTTGCCAGTACTACTATGTTTATAGTTTGTTTTTGAATTACTCTTTAACTTAAAAAGTTACCGTGTTTAAATTACAGTTTTACATTTCTTCTCAGGATGGATTGTGTGTTTTTATATATTTTATTCTTCTCATCTTTTTTTGTCCCCATT